TCTTGATTGATAGACATGCCGTAAACATTCGCCACTCAGAAGCTACTGGGGGAAAAATAGTGTTGATTTAAAGCAGACTCATCTAGACTAGTGCGAGAGTTCGGTGGGCCACGTCTTGACAGCTGTGCAGTGGCTACCACTGTTTTAGGCAATTTGTCTTTGATGGCCAAAAAAGGATTCATTTTTCTGGAAGTTTATAAGCTGCTTTAATATTCCAACCAATTTATCATCAAACTGCCTTTGCTTCAATCATCACTCTGGCTCCTTAGCTGCCACTTGCCATAAGCCAGGCTCAACTTTTTAGGGTCCATTAGCTTTTCATTGCTAAGGCATCAAATTTACAATAAGTTCAATTAAGCTGCGGCAGTTGTACACTAATTGCAAGGGATCCAAATACAGTAAACACCTGATAACTCGACCCTGGCTTAACTTATCAATATCACTTAAATCCTCTGGCTGCCAATATCCCGGCCATATGTATTCATGTATTTATACGTATTTATGGCTAACTCGTCACTCCTGATAATTCATCACTGAGCTCTTTTCCCTTGGAGTGACGAGTTATCCTCAGTTTACTGTATTGCACTTGTATTATTAACTCAATTGCCACATATAGGGTTTTTCATATATGATGCATGATGGTCATAATTTTTTGGTCATTATAAAGCTATTTCTGGTGGCATAGAGATCCACCTCCTAATCAAATAATGTTTGCCCACTAATACACTATCACTGCACCTCACAGGAACTAACCTGTGAAGCGCTTTTGAGAAGTTTTGATAATATAGGTCCTATATCAAATACGCAGATTATTATTTACAATATGTACCAAGACTTGGCAGCAATTAGAACATCATTAGATTGTAGCAGTGGGGAAAGATGTGCAGTGACAGTAAGAATGTCAATGACCAATCTGAAATGAGAAAAATAAAATGAAAAACACTGAAATAATGAAATTCATGCATCAAAAAAAGTTAGCCTAAACAATGGCTGAGATCAGGTTGAAAGCTGTAACATACCAAGCGGATTTTAATAATGTCTTTGAGCATGTTACAAGGCTGATCACAGATCCCCATCAATCTGCTATTGCCTACAGCCTCAGGTCCCAATGAGAAACTGCAGTAGACATTGGGTACCAACCGTATATCAAATGGAAAAACAACATTGATCAGCTCAACTTCTCACGTAATAATCTTTGCATTTGATATAGTGCCTTATCATGTCTTCGAGACGTCTCAAAGCGCTTCACAGAATATATTGTAAAGTGAATTAAGGCTCTGGAACTCCATCCCCCAGTGCCTTCGCCTTGCTTCCTCCCTCTCCTCCTTCAAGGCCGGTCTCAAAACCTTTCTCTTTGACCGAGCCTTCAGCTCCCCTCTCGACTCTCTTCCCCCTTCTCGCTCCCTCCCATCCCTCCCCTCACCCTGACCATTTCCCCCCTCCTCGCTCCCTCCCCTCCCCTGACCATTTCCCCCCTGCTCGGGTCATGACCCAACTGTGCAGCGCCTTGGGACGTCCTCCTGACGTGAAAGGCGCTTTATAAATGGAATCTTGTTGTTGTTGTATATTTTGTGGGTGAAACTCACAACGAGTTCCAACCTACTCCAAGGAGAACAAAGGCGTGTGCAGTAAGAAAACTTGCCCAACATTTCGCTCCCGCTCGGAAATCGAACCCAGGGCCTCTCGCATTGCAAGGCGAGTGCTCTAACCACTAAGCTACAGGACTCCACGTTTTACAGAGGCCTGCTATTAAGATAGGAAACCAAAGAACTGAAAACATGCAATTCTAACTTATTTGCACTACTTATCTCTGGCCACACCCCAATCCTTTTTGTCTGGTTCCCGGAAGGGTGGTTGAGCCAGAAGGCAGAACTATCTTTAAAAAAACAGCTCGATGCTGTGATGAGAAGTTAGGAGGGCGGGTATTCTGGAAGGATGAGATCAGAAGGCTCGAAGGGCCTTCTTTATCCAAACCAATCTTGTGTGGCCCTCCACATACCCTGACCAGAGTAAGCAGTGCTCCACTTTGGTGTACGCATAAAGTCAGTGTCTCCTTTTGAAAGGTTGGCTGAAAAACCACACAAAAATAGTTCCTGCCATTCTGTTGTGTGCATTACACTCCGAAGCTGGAAAAAGATCGACTGGTGTATTTATAGCCATCAGCTACAAGTCCATTGTTTTTTTAGATCAACACCTGGTTGCATGATCAATGGCCACAGAACCATTTGGGGTGGGGGTAAGAATCTATATTTCAAAGAGCAGTATTTCAATCTGACGACATTATTACCCCCTCCCAAACATAGTTTTGCAGATATTGGCGTCTGAACGGTGGGCTGACTTTAAGAAGCCACGTGCAAAATTTGCTGGTTGTGCAAACAAACCCACGCACGTGTACAGATGGATTTATTGGAGCCCTTAATTATATAAGTAAACCGGGTTTACAGATGGTTGATCCTGTAATTATTTACAATGGTGTCAGTCGCATAATTAAGGGTACCTGAATGCATCATAATAAGCCTTGCATTTTGATATCGCTAATGAATGGTTAAACTAACCTGAAAATTTCACAGATTGCTTTTAACCCAACCTGCAAATTAGACCCCACAACAAATATAGTATGTCTTCCCAACTCTTCCCTTCACAAGCTGTAGATCATCCAAAACCCCTCAGCTCGTGTACTCTCGCGCACCAGGCTCCGTGACCCCATCACTCCCACTCTCGCTCGACTCCACTGGCTCCCCAACCCCCAGAGGATCGAGTTCAAGATCCTTTAAGGCCCCCTCCTACCTCTCTGACCTGCTGACTCCCTACCAACCTGCCCGCTCCCTCCGTTCACCGGGCTCCGGTCTACTCCATGTCTCCCGCCCGACCCGCCCTTCCATCGGTGGCCGGGCTTTCAGCCTCTCTGCCCCCAAACTCCGGAACTCCATCCCACGGTCCCTCCGCCTCGCTTCCTCCCTCGCCTCCTTCAAGGCCGGTCTCAAGACCCTCCTCTTCAACCGTGCCTTTGGTCGCCCTCCCACCTCTCTGCCTTCCCCTCACCCCTCCCCCATGCTCAGGCCCCGACCCCTGACTGGTTTTGGGACGTCCTCCCGACGTGAAGGGCGCTCTATAAATGTAATGTTGTTGTTGTCTGTGTGTTTATGTCCCCAAAACCCTTTTTATCCCCCTAATATATTCGCTGAGTGTTGAAAGGCTGTTGCATGACTCCCCAGTATGTACCAAAATGGGCAAGCCTTGGGCAAGCCTTGGGCAAGCCTTGGGCAAGCCTTGGGCAAATTGCTGGCAAACAACTGCACAAAGATTGTACAGAATGTCTTGACCTTAGTCATCGGAAAATCACATGTGTTTTGCAGCATCAGACAGCAGGCTGGACATCCCTTTCCTTGCAGTACCCACCCACACACACCCACACCCACACACACCCCCACCCACACCCCCACCTACACACACACCCCCACCCACACACACACCCACACACACACCCCCACACACTCACCCCCTCCCACCCACACCCACACACACCCCCCACCCACACACACACACACTCACACACACACACTCACACACCCACCCACACATCCCCTCCCACCCACACACACACCCACACATCTCCTCCCACCCACACCCACACACACCCACACACCCACACCCCCACCCACACCCCCACCTACACACACACCCACACACACACTCACACCCACACATCCCCTCCCACCCACACACCCACCTACACACCCATCCACACATCCCCTCCCACCCACACACACACCCCCACACACAACCCCCACCCACCCCACCCCCACACATCCCCCCACCCACACACACCCCACACACGCACACCCACCCACACACGCCCACCCACACACATCCCCACACACACTCACCCCCACACATCCCCTCCCACCCACACACCCACCCATACCCACCCACACTCACCCCCACACATCCCCTCCCACCCACCCCCAACCACCCCACACATCCCCTCCCACCGGACACACCCACCCCCGCAAAGAGGGGGGCGGGAAATGATGGGTTTTACCAGCCCTGGGTATCTCCAGCGACTTCTATGCAGGGAATGGGGGCTCAAAGGAACAGCAGAGACCGTGTGGCCAGGGGAGAGGGGGAAAAGGGGGGAGGGGGGGAGAGGGGGAAAAGGGGGGAGGGGGGAAAAGGGGGGAGGGGAGAAAAGGGGGGGAGGAGGGAAAAGGGGGGGAGGGGGGAAAAGGGGGGAGGGGAGAAAAGGGGGGGAGAGGGGGGGAGAGGGGGGGGGAGGGGGGAAAAGGGGGGGACCAGGGGGAGAGGGGGGAAACCACTCCCCAACCTCCAACCCCCCCGCAGTAATCGTGAGCTGCCACACTTTTTTTTATGTACAGAGAACCACGACAACAACACCACCACCACCAGCACTGGAGGAGTTTAGTGAGGGGGGGATGGGGGGTGGGCTGAGGGTGGGGCTGGGGGGGTGAGGGGGGGGGTGAGAGGTGGGAGTGAGGGGGGTCGGCTGAGGGATGGGGGTGAGGGGGGGTGGGGGGTGGAGAGGGGGCTGAGGTGAGGGGGGTGAGGGGTGAGGGTGGTGGAGAGTGGGTGCAGGGGGGATGGGGGTGAGGGGGGGAATAGGAGGGTGAGGGGTGAGGGGTGGGGTGAGGGGCGTGAGGGGTGGGGGTGAGGGGTGGGGGGGGTGAGGGGTGGGGGTGAGGGGTGAGGGGTGAGGGTGGGGTGAGGGGTGAGGGGGGTGAGGGTGGGGGTGAGGGTGAGGGGTGGGGGTGAGGGGGGGGTGAGGGGTGGGGGTGAGGGGTGAGGGGTGGGGTGAGGGGAGTGAGGGTGGGGGTGAGGGGTGGGGGTGAGGGGGGTGAGGGGTGGGGGTGAGGGGGGTGAGGGGTGGGGTGAGGGGGGTGAGGGGTGAGGGGTGGGGGTGAGGGGTGGGGTGAGGGTGAGTGGGGGTTACACAACCAGACAAGGCTCCGGGTGGCACTGGTGAGCGGTGATGCGGTACTTACCGGCGTGAGATGAGGACTGAGATGGGGCTCCACCTCTTCCATGTAAAGTGTGGGTTACTGTTGGGGAGGAGGGGGCGGCGGTGATGATGATGGTGATGGTGGTGGTGATGGGGGGACACAGATCTGTCCCTCGTCGCTCCTCAGCATCGGTTGTCCTCCCTCTCCGGGTGTGTGTGTGTGTGTCTCGGGGTTGGAACCGGAATCAGCTGATTTGGGAGTCTCTCTCTCTCTCTCTCTTTCTCTCTCTCTCTCTCTCTCGTCGTCATTGGAACCCAATGCCAATCACAAGCGCCGCTCCCGAGGTTCACCGCAACGGCAAAACTCCGCAGCGACAGCGACACCGCAACAGCGATCGATCTGCGGAGAGGAATGGGATCAGAAAGCGATCACAACGCGACTGTCCACCGCAGGAGAACCAACACACACACGTTACTGTCTAATATACCATATCTTGATATCAACTGTTGTTGTTGTTGTTGTGTATTTGTATTTACATATATGTGTGTGTGTGTATATATATATAAAAAAATAACAATTTGGTCACTTCGATCCGCCGCTGTTTTTCGGGGGTCGCCGCTGGTCACCTTTCGCCCACAAACGCGCGGTCCGTTCACTTTACGGTCCATCCCGGGAAGCGCTTCGAGACGTCTCGGAGACGTGAAAAGCGCTATATCAAATGCAAGGATTATTATCATTATATATATATATAATTGTACCCATATACAATACAGAGTTGCACAATATATAGTTTGGGACGTGAAACGTGCGTGCGACTGCCAAGATAATACAACAACAACAACTTGCATGTATATAGCACCCTTCATGCGGTAGCATCACGGAGCATTTTTAATAATAGTAATAATAATAATAATAATAACCCTGGCATTTGATATAGAGCCTTATCACGTCTTCCAGACGTCTCAAAGTGCTTCACAGAATATTCTGTAACCGCAACAACAAAATTACATTCGTACAGCGCCCTTCACATCGGGAGGACGTCCCAAGGCGCTGGACAATCAGCGTTTCAGACCCGAGCTGGGGGTCAGGATCGGGACGGTGGAGGGTGGGGGGGTACAGGAAGGAAGGAGGGTGACCAAAGGCACGGTCGAAGAGGAGAGTTTTCAGACCGGTCTTGAAGGAGGCAAGGGAGGGGAAGAGGCAGAGGGACTGAAGGTCCGCCCGCCCACCAATGGGTGGGGGACGTGAAGCAGGCAAAGCGAATTGACTGTATATTTTTTAAGCGAAACATGGTGGAAAGCAAACTGGATGGACCCTGGTTTTCTTTGGCCTAGCAAAGTCTTAGTGATAGGGCAATACAACCCATTATAACTTTGGAAGCAATCAACGCTTCAGTCAGTGATTGGGACAGCATAACTATTGAGGGTATCACAACAAAAATTCAGTGAGGAGGAGAATAATAATTCTTGCAGTTGATGACATTGAAGTCAAACCATCACAGTAGTTTTGCTGGCAAGGGAGATGGGAACTTGGTTTAATGCCTGGAGCCCAGAGTGCAAGCTCAATTCAGACATGGGGCTTGAACCCACAACCTTCTGACTCTTAAGTGTTAAGATCACAGCCAGGTTGACACCAAATAATTATACTGAAATCATGTGAAAAAAATAATGAGGTGGTTTAATAATATGAGGAATCACTGGTCAGTCAACGTTAAAATGAAATCTTGGAGGGCTAGTTAATCCCATACATCATAGACCCTGCTTCTAAATATGGTATATTAGATTAAAAAAAACTAAAGGAGAAAGTAAGTGAGCACTGTTGGTGATACTGCTGTGCGCAATTGGCTGCTGCATTTCACCCACAAAATACAGTCAATTCACTTTACAGTATATTCTGTGAAGCGCTTTGACACGTCTCTAAGATGTGATAAGGCATCATATCAAATGCAAGAATTATTATAATTATAATAAAACTACATTTACTAAAGCAATTATAACACTTTAATATAAAAGTAGTTGTTGTGAATCCCAAATATGTGAGCACAGGAAAGGTTTCAGTGCAATTCCTGAGAATATGGACACAGGTCAGTCATTTTAATCATAAGGGGACAAAAAGGGTTCTGGATCAACAAACTTCTCTTGATAGCTCCTGCTATACCTGCGCTCCATACAAAGGGATCCCTATGGAACACTACACATGAAAATAATCAAATAGCACTCAGCAGGTCAACGGTGAAGACATTTATTAAATAAGGTTTTAGGCAGGACGTAGAATAAGTTAAAGACTGAATTAATTTAGACAAAAGCAAGTCAGAATTCGGACAGTTCTTCACATTAATAATAATAATCCTTGCATTTGATATAATGCCTTATCACTTCTCAAACGCTTGCTTCACAGAATATATTGTAAAGTGGATTGCTTGTATTTTGTGGGTGATACATGGCAGACAATTGCGCACAGCAGTGTCCCACAAACAGTTCTGTAATTTAATTAAGCACGGTTTGGTAATCTACTTGATGTTCCTTGATACATTAATTTTTTTTATTTACACATTCGATTTGAGTTAGAAACAGCCCCTCCCAAAAAAAACATACAACATAACAAACTTTGCTTGGTGATATTGACTCAAGACCATTTCAATACTAAAACAAGCACGGGATGAATAACTTTAATTGATTTTTTTAAAAAAAATAAGTATATATGTGATAAAAGGTTTATTCATTTATCCTTAGAACATTGAATGTTACTAGATGTTACTTTAGGTAGCCTAAATTTTGTAATATTTCATTACAGTTAAATCATTCCTTTAAAATAGACTAAAGTTAACACCTACTGTGGTGTTGGGGGTGAGGGGTGGGGGCATTGTGTGTTTCGGTAAGATCGTTGGCATATTTTGAATGATCCTGGAGTTAATCTTAAAATTAAAAAAAAATGCGGTCACTCAATCCACGACTGTTTGTGGGACACTGTTGCGCGGAATTGGCTTTCCACGTTTCGTCCACAAAATACTCGAGTCAATCCCACTTTACAATATATCCCGTGAAGCGCTTTCGAGACGCCTCGACGACGCTACACCAAGTGCCAGGATTTTTCTTATCTGCGGAACTCCAATCCATACCCCTGAGCAGGTACAGTATATGAACACACATTCATTTTAAGGAGGGGGGGAAAAAGCCTAATTATACTGCACTGAAACTTATACAGCACTGGACCTTACCCACCTGTGATCTTTTAAAAATCTTTTTGTTCACCCCTCCTCCCCCTCCCCATCCCCCCCAAAAAAGAAGTGCATTCCTCTGCCCCCTCTTACAAATGGAAGTGAAGATATTCTTAACCCTTTGTGGGCCGGACCCCTCTTCCTTCTGTGCTGATGCAGTGCAGAACCTCAATTTCCCATCTTGTCAGACGATTTGCACAACTTGCTGCTGTGTTGGGGTCTCATGGGGCCAGGGATCTGTGTTCCTCAGTGCACAGCTCTCTGCTGTTTGTGCCTTGGAAGACATTGTGGAGTTTGAAGGGTTTGAGTGGCTGTGGGGAGGGACATGGTGGGGGTGGGGGGGTGGGGGGGTAGTGGACACACACACACACACACACACACACAGCTATACCTAACAGAGATTCTTATTGCGTCAGAGGCAGCGCTGCTCAGTGATGATCAGCCCCCAGTCAAGAGGCAAGTCAAGGAGAAGATGCCACAGCCCATCCCCACCCCTCACCCCCAAACAAACAAAACAAACAAACAAACAAAACAACAACACGTTCAGCAAAGGACAAGCAACCATACGACTTGCTCCAAGTGTTCCCTTAGTTAATTGACCAATTAAGCAAAATGAGGGAGGAAAATAATGGTGCAGAGCTTCTACCTGACACTCACCTCTGCTTTCCTGCAGGTACGGATTTGAACTGGGGCTGTGGTTGCCCAGACCCTGACAGACAGACCCAGACCCAGACAGACAGACCCAGACCCAGACAGACAGACACAGACAGACAGACCTGAGCCTTGATGTCTTGAGGATCTCCCAGCTGTGGGTGACACCAGGGTTTGCTTTCCACTCGGTAGGAAATCTTGAGTTTTCCAACTGGTACTTCCAATTGGAAGGAAAAGGTTTTGGGGCAGAGAGTAAAAAAGAAAGATTCAACAATGTAGCTTAACTGTTGAGGATGATGATTACTATCATGGTACATATATACCCGGTGGTCCATTACTACAAGGGTATTGGGCTGCACAAGAATTTAAACCATCTGCACAAAAGAATAGAAATACTTTTGGAAATATTAATATTTAAATTCAACTTCTGCAGGTACAAACCACCCTGTTTTTTACCTGCACCACCTTGATAAGGCTTGAAAAATACTGGACTTTCCTGTCATCCAGCCTAAAAGGAAGGTAACCCCTGGCTTCAATATTGTAAGCAATTAGCCCAATTAAAAGCTCTGAATGTGAAGTAATGAACAAGCAACTGGAAATCTGAGTTTTCCCACTATTATAGATTTTAAATTTTCAGATATGACATAACATGCACCATTAAGGGATGAGCTAAACGATAGGTGGAAACCTCAAACTTGTGTGTGAACTTAATTAGGATTAGATCTCTCTGACCAACACCTGTGGCTTTAGTTTTGATATATCTGTAGGGTGATTTCAAACATTAATCTGTACATTACTGTAACTCAAATAAAGAAGTAAAGGGAATTGATGCTTCAGTTCTGTAAGGATTGTTCTGAAACTACTTTAGAATTTAAATGAAGATAATATTATGCAGTGTTGAAGCTGGGATAAGAGATTTATTATTTCTCGGTTCATCACTTTTTGTAGAAGGAAATGTGATTGAATTAACCATATGCTGGGTATAGTTTGTGCTTAATTAACCGGGTAGTTGATTCGCTGGAAATCTTGCAACAGAATATTTTCAATGTCTTTAAACAAAATTATATTTATGTTATCAAATGGCTTGCATATTCTTCAATGTCTTTAAATATTCTTTAAAATTTGAAACAGAATTTTTAAAAATATTATTTAATATTTCAAACTGTTTCATTCATCCTATAATAACCCACAGGGTAGGTACTTAAAGAATTTATCAACTTATCAAAATATGCAGCTTTTAGAGAGAACACTTGTTCATTGCCGAGGGCAGTCAATAGCTGAAGTAGGTTCCCAGGAAGGTTGGTAGAGGCCAAGACACTGAACTCATTTAAAAAAATAAGTCCAGTGACTTGGCCTCTACTGATTTTACTCTAGTTTAGAGGATCGCTTTTCCTGGGGCAATAATCCACTCAAAAAAAAAAATTGGGGTCTGTTTGTGGGACACTCCTGTGCGCAATTGACTGCCGCATTTCGCCCACAAAATATAGTCAATTAATTTTACAGTATAT